TCCGTGCTGTGCTGGCATCCCATATGGGCCCCGGTTCAAGTCCCAGATGCTCCACTTCTGATCTAGCTCTCTGCTGTGGCCTGGAAAAGCAGTAGAAGATGGCCTAAGTCCTTGGGCTCCTGCACTGCACCAGGAGCTCCTGGCTCCTGGCTTCGGATTGGCTCAGCTTCAGCTGTTGTAGCCATTTCTTTCTCTCTCTGTCTCTCTTTGCTTCTGCCTCTGCTTCTCTGTAACTCTGCATTTCAAATAAATAAATAAATCTTAAAAAACAAATAGCTTATTCATGAATCTTGACAGTGGCATTATTCATGATCAGCAAACAATAAAAACAACCCAAATGTTCTTTGTTTTTGTTTTTGTTTTTCCCAAATGTTCTTTGACTAATAGATAATGGGCAGATGTTTTCACAGGGTGGCTATGCAGTGGAATACTACTCAGCTTTGAAAAGCAATGAAGCACTGATACGAAAGCACTTCCAAAAATTCATGGAAAATGGAGTTAAAAGATATTGTGCAAAAAAATGTTTATACCTACACTGAGTTTTTCATCACATTTCCATGGAATTTTTGAAGAGTCCATGTATGTGCTGATGTATGAACTATACTCATTTTGAGCATTAAGTAAGTGAAAGCCACCAATCATAGAAGAAAACTGATTGTATGATTACATTCTTTTTTTTTTTTTTTTTTAGCTTTAATTTTTTTGAGAGGTAGAGTTACAGACAGAGAGAGAGAGACAGAGAGAAAGGTCTTCCCTTTGCTGATTCACTCCCCAAATGGCTGCAATGGCAGGAGCTAAGCCAGTCCAAAGCCAGGAGCTTCTTCCAGGTGCAGAGTCCCAAGCACTTGGGCCATAGCAGAGAGCTGGATTGGAAGAGGAGTGGCTGGGACTCAAACCAGCTCCCACATAGATGGCCAGCACTGCAGGCAGAGGCTTAGCTTACCATACCACAGTGCCAGCCCCATGGTTCCATTGTTATTAAATGTCTGAGTAGCCCAGTACATAGAGACAGAAGCAACTGGTTGCCTCAGTTGCTTGCAAGGATAGAATTAGTGGGGAATGGGAGGTGACAGCTAATGGCTCTCTTTTAAAGGTGATGAAAGTGTCCTGGAGTTAGAGAGTAGTGATGGTTGTGCAACTTTGTGACCATGCTAGAAATCATAGAGTCTACACTTCAAATGAGTGGACTTTATGGTAAATGAACTGTATCTCTGTGAGCTGTTTTTAAATTCTCTTAGCAGAACTTCAGCAATAAGGCGTAATGTCCACAGATCATTTAAAAAATGCATGTAGCCCATCCAAGAGCAATGATGCTGCTTGACAAACATTTTACAATATTTTAAAAATATTAAAATAACAGTGCTCAAAAACATTTTTAAAACATTTCTTTAATTTAAAAAGCAGAGCAACAGAGAGACAAGGATAGACTAGAAAGAGATCTTCCATCTGCTGGTACACTCCTCAAATGGCCACAACACCCAGGAGGTGAAGCCAGGAGCCCGGAACTCCATCCAGGTCTCCCACATGGATGGCAAGGGCCCAAGTACTTGGGCGTATTCCACTGCTTTTTTTAGCACATTAGCAGGGAGCTGGATTGGAAGCAAGGCAGCCAGTACTAGAACTGGTGCTCTGAGATACAGGTGTTTCACACGTAAGCTGCTACACTATAACACCCATCCCCAGATTGCTGATTCTTGAAATATTTGGGCTCATGGGTTCTTTCAGAAATCTGAGGGGCCAGCGCCACGGCTCACTAGGCTAATCCTCCGCCTTGCCGCGCCAGCACACCAAGTTCTAGTCCCGGTCGGGGCACCGGATTCTGTCCCGGTTGCCCCTCTTCCAGGCCAGCTCTCTGCTGTGGCCAGGGAGTGCAGTGGAGGATGGCTCAAGTGCTTGGGCCCTGCACCCCATGGGAGACCAGGAGAAGTACCTGGCTCCTGCCTTCAGATCAGCACAGTGTGCCGGCCGCAGCGCGCCAGCCGCGGCGGCCATTGGAGGGTGAACCAACGGCAAAGGAAGACCTTTCCCTCTGTCTCTCTCTCTCACTGTCCACTCTGCCTGTCAAAAAAAAAAAAAAAAAAAACTGAGGAAGGTGGAAGATCCTGTGCTCAAAGACCAATCATTACTCACTCATACTGCAATTAGGTAGACAACTCTTAAGCTACCTAAATCTAATTTTTAGTTTTGTCCAAAGTTTTTTTTAAGAATAATTTTTTTAAGATTTATTTTATTGATTTGAAAGAGTTACAGAGAGGCAGCAGCAGAGAGAGACAGAGAAGTCTTCCATCCGCTGGTTCACTCCCCAAATGGCTGCAATGGCCAAAGCTCAGCCAATCTAAAACCAGGAGCCAGGAGCTTCTTCTAGTCTCCCACTTGGGTGCAGGGGCCCAAGGACTTGGGCCATCTTCCACTGCTTTCCCAGGCCATAGCAGAGAGCTGGATCAGAAATGGAACAGCCAGGACTTGAACTGGTGCCCATATGGAATACTGGCACTGCAGGCTGTGGCCTTACCCAAAACACCATATCTCTGGCTCCTATCTGAAATTTTATCTTTAAATAACTTCAGACCATTAGCTAGTCATGTGTCTCAGTCCCTTACAGAATTTGTTTTCATGAAATGTACTCTTGACATGTTACTTGCATGTTTGAAAACAATGACCAGCTTCCCACGTCTCTCAACATGAAGGGAAAATCACTCCTGATTTCTGCCTCATTTTGAACTATCTTCCCCAGCATTCTCCACAGCGACACCACGGTTCCCTCTCTTCTCTGAGCTCCTTACCTTTGTATGTCACTCTCCGTACGCATACTGCTTCCTCCCTCTGTGCCTAGCTAATTGCTTTAACTCCTTCTGCAGCTCCCTGCCGAGTCCGTTCCCTCCAGGAGGCCTTCTGACCTCCACGGCAACTCTGGTCCAGGCATATCACAGTGATGATGTCGCATCACTGGAACGTCTGCCGATTGAGGCACGGCCCACGTCTGGTTTCACCCATCGTCGTGTCCTCAACACCTGACATGGCCTGGGCATGTAGGAAATAATACTTGAGCCGTGAGGGAGGGACTCGAGGTCACCACATTGCACAGTTCAGGGGCACCTTCCGTGTGGATCACGAAGTAAATAGTGTGGCCTGAAGGTTTGTGCAGTCTGGCGTTCTGAGATGATGGGAAGGCATATCGGAACTAGCTGGGAAGTCTGGTGTTGTTGAGATCAAGGGTAACAGCCCCTCTGTCACACAGTCATTCCTCCGTTGGCTCATGGGAAAGTCCCTTTTAGATCTTGCTTTTAGGAAAATCGTCATTCATTTGAGCAACTTTGGTTTGTTGTAATCCATGGACCCAGGGAATCTCAAAACTTTCATCTTTCCCTCTTGGCCGTGACCACTAAGAGGCTCTTAAGTCAAGCTGGAGCCCATTTCTAGCTTTCTGGCTTACGTTCATCCATAAATCTGCCCCCAGCTGCTGCTTCTCCCCTTGACATCACTTTCTTGCCTGTTTCGCTTGAATCTATTGAGTACATGTCTGTGAGTGACTGCTCTTCCTTTAGCATAAAATGTGTGAGCGATACAAGTCAGCCTTTTATTTCTAATATTTGTTAAGTAGTCTGAAGAAGACGTGAACTAAAAGCTGTTGTGTAATTTGGGCTCAGACTTTAAGGCTGATCTGAATTCCAACTTGACCAGTTCCTGGGCTTGTTCCGAGGCAGGTAGCCTGGCATCCCTGAGACCTTCGCAGCCTTGTAAGATGGGACCCGTTATCCCGTCCTCACAGGGTTGTTGGCAGGATTATGCTGGAACACCCATGTGAAAGTAAGCGCTAGAATGTAGTAACTGCTTAGGAAATCGTCTTACTTTTATTAGACAGATATGCTCTAATATAATGACATCCATTTACATTTTAAAACCTGCCTTGAGACGGAGACTTTCAAAAAGTTCACAGAAAATGGAATTAAAAGATAAGCTTGGGATCTTCTGTATATTAAGAGAATCGAAAATGAATCTTAATGTGAATGGAAGGGGAGAGGGAGTGGGAGAGGGGAGGGTTGCGGGTGAGAGGGACGGTATGGGGGGGAAGCCATTGTAATCCATAAGCTGTACTTTGGAAATTTATATTTATTAAATAAAAGTTAAAAAAAAAAAAGATAAGCTTGGGTGCAGCTCTGTGGCGTAGCAGGTAAAGCTGCTGCCTACAGTGCCAGCATCCTCTATGGGTGCAGGTTCATGTCCCAGCTGCTCCACTTGTGATCCAGCTGTGCTGTGGCCTGGGAGAGCAGTGGAAGATGGCCCAAGTCCTTGGGCCCCTGCACCCGCATAGGAGACCAGAGGAAGCTCCTGGCTCCTGGCTTCACCTCAACCCAGCTGTGGCCATTGCAGCCATTTGGGGAGTGAACCAGCAGATGGAAGACCGACCTCTCTCTCTCTCTCTCTCTCTCTCTCTCTCTCTCTCTGCCTCTGCCTCTCTGTAGCTCTGCCTTTCAAATAAATAAATAAATCTTTTTTTTTTTAAGAGATAAGCTTATTTTGGTGCAAAAAAAGTTTTCAAATCCATGTGTATGTGGCTCTTTAAAACATTCACAGAAATAATGTATATCATGAAGAAGCTTTGCCTGGATTTCAAAATTTTTTTTGCACCAAAATACTTATCTCTTAATTCCATTTTCCACGACTTTTTAAAAACTGTATTTGTTTATTTGAGAGGCAGAGAGACAGAGATCAGAGCCAGGAGGCAAGAACCCAGCCCAGGTCTCCCACGTGGTGGCAGGAACCCAGCTGCTTGAGCCTGCCTCCTAGGATCTGCATAGCAGGAAACGAGTGAGGAGCTGGCGCTGGAGATGGGATGCAGGTACCCTGGTGTGGAGCAGAGACATCTCACTGCCAGGCCAAACGCCTGCCAGACTTCCGGAAATGCCCTTGTCCCCCACATGTATCTCCCTTCCAGGAGCTGGGCTGTCTTTCCCTTTGGCCCTGCCCTCAAGCTGCGTCTGCTTTCTCTCCGTCACCAGATTTCTGCACTGAAGAACAGGCTGAAGAAGGTCTCCACTACCACGGGCGACGGCGTGGCCAGAGCGTTCCTCAAGGCCCAGGCTGCGTTCTTCGGAAGCTACCGGAATGCTCTGAAAATCGAGCCCGTGAGTACCACTTGGCATGCGAGAGTCTGGGCTTGGTTATGCCAAAAACAAAAAACAAAAACGTGCCTAAGGGGCCACAGAAAGCCTAGGATTCTTCTGGCATTTCTCAGAGGAGCCTGGGTGTGGTAGAGCTGGGGTTCCTGTGCTCCCCGCCTTACCCCTTAGCCCTAGGAGGCTGTGCGTCCTCCATGGGAGGACCTGGGGGTCAAGGACGTTGGGACCCCCATAAGCAAGCACTGACCGTGTGTGTTAGATGTGGTGCCGGGTCCTTCACATGCACCTGCTCTCGGTGAGGATTCACAGCGAGCCTGTGGGCAGAGCGGCCCCATGTTACAGATGAGGAAACTGAGGCTCCAGGCCAACGGCGAGCCCGGTGTTCCCACTGCGCCTCGGCCATCCTTCAGAGAGACCTCTGTTCTACGCATGAGCCAGCAGTGTCCTGGGAACTCCCTGCTCAGTGGCACCTGCGAGTGCTCTTGGCTTAAAGGCGACATGGCACGGCGAGGACTGGGCAGTGATGCCGCCCACCTCCGTGGCCCACTTCCTGAGCTGCCACCTCACCCCTGCACACCCCCGCCTGCCTTGTGTGCGAGTACTCAGTACAAGGATGTGATATCCCTCTCCTTGAGCCGCCGCCTCACCCCTGCACACCCCCAGCCTGCCTTGTGTGTGATTTCTCATTACGAGGATGTGATGGCCCTCTCCTTGAGCCGCCACCTCACCCCTGTACACCCCCCGCCTGCCTTGTGTGCGAGTACTCAGTACAAGGATGTGATGGCCCTCTCCTTGAGCCGTCATCTCACCCCTGCACACCCCCGGCCTGCCTTGTGTGTGAGTGCTCAGTACAAGGATGTGATGGCCCTCTCCTTGAGCCACCACCTCACCCCTGCACACCCCCGGCCTGCCTTGTGTGTGAGTGCTCATTACGAGGATGTGAAGGTGGCCTCCTCCTAAACTGCCGCCTCACCCCTGCACATCCCCCACCTGCCTTGTGTGTGAGTGCTCGTTACGAGGATGTGAACGTGGCCTCCTCCTGAGCCGCCGCCTCACCCCTGCACACACCCCCGCCTTCCTTGTATGTGAGTGCTCCTTACGAGGCAGTCTCAGTGCTCCTGGTTACAATGAGAAGCCCTCATACATCGGCCCCTGCTCGCTCTGCTCTTGGCCAAGGAGAATGGAGAAAATGGCTGGGGGCTGAGTGTGGGGGGCAGTGACTGCAGGGGCGCCCTCTCCATTCATCCTGAGCAGCTGAGTGATGCCCGCCGCGCCCAGCCCGGTGGGAGTGGGGTGCAAGGGGCCCCTGCAGACCGCACTAGCTATGGGCCAGGGCTGTTGCTGATTTTCTTTGAACCATGGCATGGAACTGGACTGAATGACAGGCGATGAGCAGATGTTTTGTTAAAACTTCCAAGAGAGCCGCGACGGCATTTCCTCCTGAGCCGTGAGCGTGACGTGGTTAAAGCGTCTCTTTACTGCTCTCCCTCCCTTGTGCCTCTAAGCCAGACAGACTCGCAGGAGACCCCTTGCTCTCCTTTCACCCAGGACAAGCTCTGTGATGCGGCCAGAGCAGCGGGCCCGCAGGGAGCAGCATCCGAACCCCACCGTCCTCACTCTTCATCCAGTGCTGGGGCCTTCCTCCCCCGGGGTCCTCAGCTTCGGGCAGCGTCACAGTTGCACAACAGTAGGGCGCACACCTCTCGCTTCCTGAGAAATCCGTAGGCCGTCTGAAGCCCACCCACTTGGAGCAGTTTCCTTCATCTTCCTGCCTCGGTGGAAGGTGGCTCTGATGCTTTGGTGTGATCTTGGTGTGGCCCAGCCAAACCAAGTCAGGTTTTGGCGTTGTTTTGAGAGCTGGCATAATTCAAGGAAAATCCTGCTGTCTTCTCTCTGAAGTGGGAATGGGGCCACGGGCCCGATCCTCTCCTTGGGTTGCTGGGGACTGACAGGCTTACTGTTGTCTCATCGTCGTCAGTGTGTCTAGAATCCAGAGGCTGTTGACTGTTGGTACTTACTTGCTGGGTACTTACTTTCCGGGCACAGGTTGTTCCCCGAGAGGAGTCTATCTCTGTACTTGCACTGGGCTCTGAAAGGCACTGGGCTTAAGAACTTGGGGGCCTCCATTTGTGATACCGGTATTCCAGATCACAGTCCCAGATCCGTTCAAGTCCCGATGCGCCACTTCCAGTGCAGCTCCCTGCTAATCTGCCTGGGAAAGCAGCAGAGGATTGCCCAAATATCTGGGCTCCTGCTACCCACATGGGAGACCTGCATGGAGCTCCTGGCTTCTGGCTTCAGCCAAGCTCAGACCCGGCTTTTGGAACCTTTTAGAGGAGTGAAGCAATGGATGGAAGATGTCTCTCTCTCTCTCTCCCTTTTTCTTTCTTTTTTTTTTTTTAAAGATTTATTTATTTATTTGAAAAGAGTTACATAGAGATAGAAGGAGAGGCAGAGAGAGAGAGAGAGAGAGGTCTTCCATCCTCTGGTTCACTTTCCAGTTGGCTGCAATGGCTGGAGCTGTACTGATCCGAAGTCAGGAGCTTCTTCCGAGTCTCCCATGTGGGTACAGGGACCCAAGGACTTGGGCCATCTTCCACTGCTTTCCTAGGACATAGCAGAGAGCTGGATCGGAAGTGGAGCAGCTGGGTCTTGAACGGCGCCCATATGGGATGCTGGCACTGCATGCATTGGCTTTATCTGCTACACCACAGCGCCGGCCCCTCTCTTTCCCTTTTTCTTCCCCTCTCTGCCACTCAGTGTTTCAAATAAATAAATCTCTAAAAATAATAATAAGTTAAAAAAATAAGAAACTTTGGAGTTTAAAACTTGGCCCTGCATGTCTTAGTTGTATAACACTTGGATGAGTGGCTTCATCTGTCTAATGTGTGGTTTCTTCACCTGTGAAGTGTTGGTGCGACTGCTCGTCATCTCTGTGTCTCTAGGACCAAGCAGGCTGGCCATTTGGTCTGGAACATTGGGTTTGGGTGGGGAGAAGGGCCTGCAGAGAGGTTAGAGCGAAACTTGACAGAGCCCTAAGTACTGGGCTAGGCGCCTCACCTTGAGCTTGCTGAGAGGCTAAGTTTTGAGCACAGGGGTGACTTGGCTGTAGTCATGTTTGAGCAGTGATACAGCGAAGGACTGGAAGGGAAGCTGGGAGCAGAGACCGGTTAGAGGAGGGCTGCAGGAACTCAGAGTCCTCAGGTGGTTACACCTGGAGAAGTTCCCACGAAGGACGAAATTCTTAGAACCAGTAGTGAACAGAGTACAGGAGACAGAGGGGGTGGGCATTACGGCACAGTAGACTAAGCTGCCACCTGGGATTCACGCATCCCGTACCAGGGTGCTTTGTACTAGTCCCAGCTGCTCCACTTCCCCTCCGGCTTCCTGCTCACGGCCGCCCCGAGAGGCAGCAGATGATGACCAAGACGTTGGTCGGGTCCCTCCCACGCACACAGAAGAGCCAGATGGAATTCTGGGCTCTTGACTGCAGCCTGGTCCAGTCCCAGCTGTTGCAGGCATTTTGGGTAGTAAACTGGTAGATGGAAGATCTCATCCCCTCCCCATTTTAAATAAATAAAAAATAAACATTTAAAAAGGGGGACAAAAGGCAAGAAATATCAAAATGTCTCCCAAGATTTCAAGCGTGGAGAGGATCATGAAACTAGCAGCAAAGAGGAACGCTTACTGCCAAGGTGTTCACAGTAGCAGCATTTATAAGAGTAAAACATTGGAACAGAGCAAGTTTCCATCATATGAGCAGTCTTCGAAGAGTTCATATAAAATGCATATTATGAAAAAACTATGCATGCATTTAAAAAAAATTTTTTTGCAGAAAATTAAGCTTATCTTTGAATCCCATTTTTCCATGCACTCTTTCAAGTGCCTCCTGAGGACCCTGCTGAAGTCAATGCCAGTGCGTCCGTGTGACAGGCCGTCAAGCTGGCCACTAGAGGTGTCCAGGTGAGGTGCGGGGACTGCTGCAGACGCGGCCTGTTCCCCTAACCCTGAGCTGCTGTCCGGGTGTCAGACACACCACCATCACGGGTAGCGTGAAGAAGAGCAGAGTGATTGAGGGGCACGCCCACCTGTACCAGAGAGGATTTCTTCGTGAGGCCGAGAGGCAGCCAGGACACCTGAGAGCCTCATGTCGCATGGCGTCTCCGTGTTGCCTGTATGGTTTTTAAATGCTAGATTTAACTCCCACAGAGTCTCTTCACCTAAAAAATTGGGTATCAGCATTTCCCCTACAAGATTGTTCTGGGAGGATTGATTAAAATAATAGCTGCACGGCACATGTGAGCTGGAGAAGCGGGGAGGGACAGCGGCTGCGCGGCTGGGGAGAACAATGCATGGGGTGAGCCTGGCCGGCACCCAGGCCTCCCCAGAGTCACCTGTCTCCTGGTTGTTTCTCTGGTTGTAAAAACAGCACCTGCTCTGGGTTTAAAAAAAGAAACAGTTAAAGTAACAGAAGGCGAGAAGTGCTGAGCACCTGTAACCCTGCCGTCTGGACGGAAGATGGCTGCTGGCTGGATTCTGCCTCGATCCCAGGCACTTGGGGCTCACCTTGGCTTTGTTTTGTTTTGGGACTTTGCTGTTAGGCAGTTGAGATGCTCTTGGCAAAGCGGTCTAGTGTCGTGGTTTCATTCGTTCCCACTTCTTAGTCCGCAGAAGCACTCTCCACGTGCCAAACCAAGTGCTCTTGCGGCCACTTGAGTGGCTGCTCACATCCCAGCCCTGGCTGTGAGTCCCAGTCACCCGTGGAACTTATTAAAAGCCTGGGCCACATTCGCAGATTTTTATCAAGTTCCCACAATCAGACATCGGTGCTGAAGCCACCCCAGTGTCCTAGTGCTGGGCTTTGTGGCTCTGGGCACTGTCTCGCTGTGGTGACCCAGTTTATGGAGATCTTCACATGCTATCTGGGCCAGGCATCCGGCACAGTGGCTAAGCTGCTGGTTAGGGCACCCACAGCACATGTCACGGAGCCTGGGTTTGAGTCTTGC